TTCCTGGTCATACCGTTTTGGCTGAGCACAAAGTTATGTTTAACTTTATATATTTATTTTGAACTTTACCGTAGTACAGTGCTGACTTTGTAGCATACGTTTGACTGAATTGTTTGCTTTTGTCTTTATTTCCTCTTATATAAGCCTCTTATACTTATACTTTTATAATGGCTATTATTGTTCATTAAAACTGACATTTAACAAAAAGAGGCAGAGTTGTGCTCATTGTCGCGCTTTATCATCGATCGCTACTTTCCGGCATACACCACGCCTACCAAGTAAGGGTACTATTGGCAGTGGAAATGCAAGCCTGATCAGGGTTACCCGTACCGAATCGTACAGTACTGAACTGTACTGTACCGTACCGCTCAGTGGAAATGAGCCATAAGAGAGCTGCTTGCAAGCGCTGCAGACACATGGAGGGCTTTTTTCCTGCATTTTGCAGTGTGTTTAAGAATCTTGCAAAAAGATCATCCCCATCCTCGACTGCATCGAAGGCAGAATCCAGAATGTCAAGGTATGCATTAGGTGGGGCTGTTGCACCCAAATGTCTCACAATTTCTAATGCTGGAGGTAACAAACTGTCCAATATTTTCCTGGAACGGTGCAAATCAGAAAGTGAAGGATCAGTTCAACACTCCCTCTCCAGGCATTATAATCAACTTCAGTGCTCAGATGTGGAATTTTCCCAGAGAACACTCAAAGTCTGAAAGGCGCATGCATGTAGGAGATTCCTTCATTCTTAATTAGGTGTTCAACTATCACACGCTGGATTTCAGGTGGATTTACATCAGCCACATCTAAAGTTGAAGTTCTCTTTTCAAAGAGCACTAAATGTACAGTCTCTGGGCTTTGACACCCTTCTACATTTTTCGTTCCCTTGAATGAGGTAAGAGGATCATGCATGGGAATACTAGTCTCTAAGGAAAGTTTTGGCTCATTCTCATCTGTTGCGATTTCATCACTGGATGTAGTGGCTTGAGATAACTGTTCTCTCAGAAGTTCCTCAAAAGTCTTTCCACTAATCGTAGCTAATTTCTGCAGCTCAGCAAAGTAACAGAAGGTTGCTTGTTTGGTTGCTGCTGGTACATAGGCACTTGACAAAAGTGTTATGACATAAGATATGTTATGTGGGCTTCTGAAAGTGTATGGCAACCAGTGGTGGACAGTAACGGAGTAGTTTTACTTCGTTACTGTACTTAAGTACATTTTTCAAGTATCTGTACTTTACTGGAGTAGTTTTATTTTGAGTAACTTTTACTTTTACTTCACTAAATTCCAAAGCATAAGATCGTACTTTTTACTTCAACTAATCGTTGCTAATTTCTGCAGCTCAGCAAAGTAACAGAAGGTTGCTTGTTTGGTTGCTGCTGGTACATAGGCACTTGACAAAAGTGTTATGACATAAGATATGTTATGTGGGCTTCTGAAAGTGTATGGCAACCAGTGGTGGACAGTAACGGAGTAGTTTTACTTCGTTACTGTACTTAAGTACATTGCAACATAGGTTCGAGAGTTACCAGGGCAGAACAGCTTTCATATTCTACTATAACATCTTTATGAAAAGGTGACTGTGGGTTATCTACCCTCAGCTGTCTACTAACACGTCCGTGTTTGTTTAAAACTTCAACTAGGTCCTCGTCAAGCTCAGTGCCTGTCAACCCACGAACTATCACTGAGGTCGCAACATTAACCTTCTCACTTTCAACAATATCCATCATTTCTTAGGATTAATGTAATCTCAGGTCTGCAGAATCTAATTTTCTTGTTTTGTTCCCTTTTCAGGAACTCATCCAGAAGATATTTACTACCACTGTTCTCCTGGCTGGCTCGCCAAGAATTGTATGTAACAAGTGCCCTCAACGTAATTTGGAGCAATGGACCAGTTTCTAGGTAAGTGGAGAACAGAATTAATGATGGCAGTAAATAAAATCACACAACCATGTAAAGAGAATAATTTGAAAATATATATTGTAATTCAACAGTCACATAAACAACATGGACCAGAATGAAACAAAAAATAATAATAAAATTGATGCACAACCAATTAATTCTCTATGTTGTCTTTCTTTCCCTCTTGTAACAAAAGGTAATAAGATTTGATTTCTTTTTTTTCTGTTAAATAGAACTTTAATCTAATTTATTTCTGTTTTCTTAAGTCGTAGTAATTTTTAAAGCCTTTGATTTGATCTTGCTATGTTTCGATAGCTATTAAACTTCATTGTCTTTTGGATTTAGAGTTTAGGATTTTTATCCTATTTTGCTTTTAGATTCACAATTTCTTACACTATTTTAGACAAACCAAAGAAAATCCCATGAACAAGGCACAACGGCATATAACCACAATTCAAAGTAACAATTTAAGCAAACCGGAACGTTTTATCACAACTAAAATGTTCAAAGGAAATCCCAAAATTTACATCTGACTCGCATTCAATAACAGTCGATCAAAAATACCCTTGTTAGATCCTTTTTTTTTAATTGTCTTTGAAAATCGTCCAAAATGTCCTTTAAGATGTCCAGTGGGCGAGTGCAAATTCAGTTAAATCCTACCAGTTCAAACAAGTGTCCTGCAAAACAGAAATGTCCTCCCAGCTGAAGAAAAGTTGATGTAACGAAAAGTTGATGCAATGAATCGTCTACGTGTCACAGCAAAGATGTATCCTTCCAGGTTCAGGAATCAAAATTTCAAGTTTGGGTGGCTCGCCATCTCAAATCCACAAGGGGGGATTTTCACTCAAGCAATAAACCTGACCTGTTTTACCAAAACAGCGTCATTAACATTCAATGCAATTTCTTTTAAACTTTTCTTGCTCTTTAAACTGTTTAAACATCCATCTCAACTTTCATGAGGAACGAGTGTCTTCTTAACAGAATATTGAGGATGTGCAAATTAATATTCATAACTAAACAGAACACATCATTCAACATTTCACAATAATTCATATCAACACTGAGAAAATATGCAAACGATCTTTGAAGTGTACACAACGATAGGCATAGCAACCTAAAATACATCTTTCAAATAAAATAAAATACATATAACTCATCAAATCCCGTTTTTAACAGTTCGTTAAACACCTGCTTCAGATTCAGGGGAGCTTCACAATCAGCTAACATCGGCGCTCAAATCGGCAATCATCACTCTAAAATGATTCATCATCATCAACCATCAAGTATTATAAGTTTGTTTTTAACCTTATTTAAATGAATTTTTTTAAACCATATAAACCTTTTTAATACTTTTGCATGGCTCGTGTTCTCGTGCTAATCACATCTCTCACACTTCTGTGAGTCATCGGCTTACGTCATATGCAACTCGCATATGTGCACTACGTCACATTTTTCTGCGCTCAGTTATAATACTGATTATTTTTTTATCTATACATAATTAAATCGCTATGTATATTAATAGATCACTTCAGTTTTTTAATTGGAAGTATAATTGCAATATACAATTATATTACTATTATTTATTTTGTAGGCACCACATTTAACATGGGATACAAATTCATGCTTTATAATGGGAGTGGATGGTAGCCCAAAATTTAAGCCTAAAACCTTAATCTCTAGCTTCCGCTAACTGTAGTGCTCGTTCACGAGAGAGTGGCGTCCAGCAGATGACGTAGGACGTAGACGTAGCATAAGCTCTGGTGAGAATATGCTAGTCTCGTGAGAAACAAGTTTTGTTTACAGCAAAGGAAAACCAGTGTCCTATTGGCTTATATCGAAATCCTCAGACATTTTTCTTTACAAATTCTCGTTTTGTACTACTAATTTGTGACCGGTGTTTTGTTTTGCTCTCTCCTCTGCGCTTCCACGTTCGTCACTTCCCCGTTCGTCACCGCGTTTGCCTACGTCCTACATCATCCGCTGGACGCCACTCTCTCGTTAATGTGCGTACGAGAGTTAGCAGAAGCTAGAGATTAAGATTTATAAAGTTGTAAATATGGATATTTTTCTTACACAAACGCATCGCGTCGCTTCAGAAGGCCTTTATTAACCCCTCGGAGCCGTGCAGACTTCTTTTATAATGGATGGGTGCAATTTTTTGGACTTCATATTTTGGGCTACCATATAAAGCATGGATTAGCCTGGACATTATTTAATATGACTCCGATTGTATTCGTCTGAAAGAAGAATGTCATATACACCAGGATGGCTTGAGGGTGAGTAAATCATGGGGTAATTTTCATTTTTGGGTGAACTATCCCTTTAAAGTAAATTCTACAGGAAGGTGAATATGCAGAAACAGCATTCTTTTTGCAAACTACAAATGAGACTTCATAAAGTCATATTTATTTTATGTCATATGTTAAAGGATGCCTACACAGTTGTCCGGTTTTACAGAAAACCACGTAGTATATGATGGGCACAGATTATGACTCTGTCCAGTCAGAGGATATCAACCGCATTTGATATTTTGAGTCAAAATTATTTCTATTTGCATGCGTCTATTAGCAACAAGGCTCATACTCCTGTGTGAGTTTGTTGTGTTCGGAATGACCTGAAAATCTGGTAGTGTGTGATCCTCAGTCATTTGGTATATGATGCCCAGTTTTTCCCTCTATAATCATTTACAAAGTCGGTAAGTATTTGAAAAATCAAGTAGTGTATTCCAGCCTTAAAGGAGATGTTTTTCTGATAAGTTATAGTAGTTTTTATTTTTGTAGTCAACTTTATTACTATAATTTACACTCAAAGAGATGATAGACATTCAAATTCATATATTAAAAAGATTTTCTTTTTACATAACACAGGCTCGATTAGACTTTGAAAAAATGTTTTAAATCAAAACATGTCCAGCTTCCAATGCGGGTCCATTTGAGCAAAACTAGTTTGGCAGCTTTGGCTTAACATTCGCCATGACCAGTAGTAGGAGGAAACAAGTCTAGCTGGTTAGACCTTAAAACTGGTTTCCCTACCCCATTTTTTGTAGACAGCCATACTTATATGTGAGTGCTACATATGACAATACAGAGACATTGCATTGTCAACGTCTTCCTGAATTCATTCCTTCAAGGCAATAAGTTAAGAAACATGGTGTCTACAGGACGTCAAATCTTGGGCATCTGCCTGGCTACGCTCGGCTTCTTGGGAAGCATCATCGTCTGTGGCTTGCCCAACTGGAAGGTGACGGCGTTCATTGGACCCAACATTGTGACCGCTCAGAACTTTTGGGAAGGTTTATGGATGAACTGTGTGGTTCAGAGCACAGGACAGATGCAGTGTAAAGTCTACGACTCTCTGCTGGCTCTTCCTCAAGATCTGCAGGGCGCCAGAGCCTTGGTGATCATCGCCATCATCGCTGGAGTGTTTGGAATCATCCTGAGCATCGTAGGAGGAAAGTGCACCAACTTTGTGGATGATGAGGTGTCTAAAGCGAAGGTTGCTATCGCCAGCGGCGTCATCTTCATCATCGCTGGACTTCTTGTCCTCATCCCCGTCTGCTGGACTGCGAATACCATAATCAGGGACTTCTACAACCCTTCGTTGGTGGACAGCCAGAGGAGGGAACTCGGGGAATCGCTTTACATTGGCTGGGCTTCTGCAGGTTTGCTTTTCCTGGGTGGAGGACTCCTCTGCAGCTCGTGCCCACCGCGTGAGGATGATCACCATGATGTGATGTATTCAAAAGCCAGGTCTGTGGACAGCAGCAAAGCTTATGTATAAAAAGGATTGATTAAACAAATGATAGTAAACTGAAGAGGAACTGATTTACACAACAGTTAGAACTTAAGATGAAAATCAGTTCTTCAAATTAATGTTACAAAAAAATGGGTATTGGAATGTGCATTGCCCCAAAATATAAATGCATTATACCTATTCAAAATGTTTTCATGGTATATTAATTGAAGAAATGTGCAAATCAAAGTATGTATTTTGAAAGGTCTACTGATATGTTCATTAGTAGTGGAAATTTTGTTGCTTCCATCACTGTTGTGTACTTGAGTTTTGTCTCAGCGCAAAAAGTAATGTTGAATTTGACAACAAATGGCACTGTGTTTTCAAAACATATATATTTTTTGTCTTTCATTCGACGTAATTGCTCACATTATATAAACCAGTATTCAAAAGTTTGGGGTTGGTATGTTTTTTTTTTAATGTTTTTTTTTAAAAGAAGTCTCTTATGTTTACCAAGACTGCATTTATTTGATCAAAAATACAGTAAAAACTTTAATATTGTGAAATATTGTTTAAATTTCATAATTGTTTTCTATTTTAATCATTTTTTAGCAATGCAGAAAATAAAATTAATGATTCTTTGATTAAAGGAAAGTTCAAAAGATCAGGAATAGAATTTTTTTTAACATTATGTCTTCACTTTTGATCGATTTAAAGAGTTTGCTGCTGAATAAAGGAATTAACTTCTTTAAAAAATTTACTGACCCCCAATTTTTTTAACAGTAGTATAATAATACATATTTTTTCATTGCATTATTCTATATTAAAAATGTATGCCAGTCATTGATAGCATACATTTGTTGCTAAGTTGAAAAATCTTGCATTAAACTCGTAGAGTTATTTACATAGTTTCACCTATAGTTGGTAGCCATTATTCATGACATGTAGCAATGTGTACTTAATAAAAATGATTGCACTCAAACATTGTGAGCTAGTGTGTATTCTCACATGCTTGAGATTGCATCAGGAAGAAACCAACCTTATTTTTTCTGGTAGGTATTTTCCACACTATGACTGACTCACAACAAAATCCAAATGTAATGAGCAATTTTAGTATTCTCTTCACTGTTGTTTAAAGACCTCTAGGAAAATATTTCAGATAAACATTCTGTGCTCATCATGCATCATGAAACTATAGTAAGCAAACAGGTGAGCAGCAACATAGTCACAACAATCCTTTTTGGCATTCAAATCATTCATTCAGAACTTAAAATTTTACAATTTATAAACCTACTTTTTAGTCCTTTAAATTAGTTACCACACTTGTCTTCCATTTTATGTGCATCATAAATGTATGGCAGTATAGTAGCCCAATCATTCGTGGCCTAATGGTTAGAGTCGGACTCGTAACCCAAAGGTACCGGCAGGGATTGTGGGTGGGGGGAGTGAATGTACAGCGCTCTCTCCCACCTTCAATACCATGACCGAGGTACCCTTGAGCAAGGCACCAAACCCCCAACTGCTCCCTGGGCGCCGCAGCAAAAAATGGCTGCCCACTGCTCCGGGTGTGTGTTCATGGTGTGTGTGTGTTCACTGCTGTGTGTGTGCACTTTGGATGGGATAAATGCAGAGCACTAATTCCGAGTATGGTTTACCATACTTGGCCACATGTCACGTCACTTATCCAAAAATGAATTCTGTAATAATTTACTCACCCACATATCATTCCAAACACATATGACTTTCTTTCTTATGATTGATATTTTGAGATGTCAAGGAAGTTAAAACTGTTTGGCTACCAGCATTCTTCAAAATATCTTCTATTATGTTGCACAGAGGATCGTCATATATGTTTAAAACGACATGAGGGTGAGACAATTACAGAACTTTCATTCATTTTCATTTATAACATATTAAAATGATTATGGCATCAATTATGAATGGGATATAGAGGCTGCCTTGGTGGTCAGATCTACAAACAAATCTCTAAAACCTCAAACAGAAAAACAAAAGCGTGAAAATCGAAACTACATCTGGATACCTGAATGCAAGTGATGCACAAACACCTGAGCCCTTTTCAGAAGTCTAATGCAAATTCCCAACTAAACAGTAGCCCATCTACCTCTTTTACATGACCCGCCCATATCGTCCAAGGCTAGAAGACGGAATCTGTCTAGTCTGGCATGCAGACTAATGGAGGCATGGTCTGTTTAACCATACACGCCTCCTCATTAATTCTCTCTCTTTTTAGCATATAAACATCTCATCACTGTCATCAGAGTGAAAGCTGAGCTGCAGACAGGAATGACTGAAGAAGGAAACACCATAAAGCTTTCCAAAAGGCTTTAACTGGTGAGAAGAACGAAGAGGCCGTAGTGTAGCAGTGGACGTGTATAACTGAACCTCAGCGAGATGGCTTCTAGGGCTGTGCAATTAATCGCATGCGATTGTCATGCGCATCTTGTCAGTAAAGCCGGATACTAATCACGTGACCGGTGTAAGAAAAATGATGAGGACGATGAAGATCTCAATGAAGATGTTTATTGCAGCATAGCAGTGACAAAGTACATGTAGTACCTTGGGTTCAACGGAGTCGGAATGAACCACGAACATCCTAAGCTCAAACATTTTATACTCTATTACGTTCATCTTCCCACTAGACATGTTGTCTTAAATGTAAATTGCGGAAAGTGATAGCCTTCCGTTCCCACATCTTTGGTAGTCTTTCAGGTGGAAACAACCAAATGTTAAGGTGTTAGGATTATCTAGAATCTCTAGCAATTATATTCAAGTACCCTTTTTGCCAGCAGATGGTTCTTGATGGCCTACTGCCGTTCCTACGCTATAGGTGACGATTGACGAAGTAACGTTCAGGAGATACTATTTACATATTATTGAGATCGGAAAGAATTATCTCTATGATAATTAAGCTCTTTGTAGAGAAAGGAGAATAGTTTAATTGGAGTGGAAGTTTGGTCGAGGCAGACTATAATTTCTTACAAATAGCACGCGTGAACGCGGCACCGCGCTGTATATCACTTCACTAAAGCGCAGAAACTCCGGTTTTTTTCAAAGCATCACACTCACAGATAAACCCAAATGGAGTTTTGTCACTTGCATTGTGTCCATTCTCTCAGTGTGGACGTCCTTTGTCCACATGTGTGCATTCAGTAGACAATGTTCTGCATTCGAGTATGCATATGTTTGTCTCTTTCTGGTGTCATGTGCATAGAGTCTGTCTTTGTGCATTTCTCATTTCTTGTTTTCCATCTCGGTGATAAGACTGCTGTCCACAGTCTCTGAAAATAGTTTGATTTCTTTGTTTCTCTTTTCCATTGTCCATTCATTTCTATTTGGAAAAGTCCTTCCAGCTGTTGTTGCAGTTTGTGAAGTTCCATCAGGTCCATCCATGCCATTGTGGGTCTCAGGATTTCTAGATCTTTTAAGCTTGGAGTTCTGGATCTTGTAGGTCTGGAAATCTCTCAATTTCTGGTTCTGATAATCACTCTGTTCTTTAAGAAGTCCCTTCTCTTGTGGAACTCCCCTGGCTCCACTGGCCCTGCTGGCCTTCTTGAAGTCCTTTTTCTTCTGGAAGTCCCCTGGCTCCACTGGTTTTGCTGGCCTTCTTGTCCTTCAGATGACCGGATCATCTTTCTCCAGCATCTCGATGCTTATTCTTAACTTTTTCTAAACAATGCCTTGCTATGTGACCATCCTTTCCACATGCATAACAGACACAGCTTTGATGAGGTCTCTCGTTGTCTTAACAATGTCTAGCAGCTTGTTTTCAGTTTTAATTTCTTCTAATCTTTTCCTAGTTACCTTGTATGAGGCAAAAAGAGCTTGAAGTGCATTCGCAACTTTTCCCTCTTTGTTTTTAGGCATTTTGGGACAATTTTTTAATTGAGACATAGCCCACTCGTAGGGGTCATCTGCCTTCTCTATCCCCTCAAACATTCCTACTGAGCCGTGCTTAGCGATGTATTTAACTATCAACTCTTCCATTTTCACAATCTTATTGAATTGTGTTCAGCAATTCAATAGGCTTCTTTTCCTTCACTGACTGAACATTATCTAGTTACTTTAAGATACCTGTTAGTCTAATTATTCACAGCTCCTGTGCTTCGGCCACAAATGAATAAAACAGCCACACTATGTCGGGCTTCTAAACCAAATTTTTCACTTCTCCGGACACAGCCACACTCTGTCGGGCCTTACACTTCACTACACTAAACCGGTAAAAATGTAACACTGTCACAGTACGTCGGACACAACCACACTACTTCGGGTTTTATGTTATATTTTTAAACCAGTTTACTTAGCCACAGTACGTCGGGCAAATCAACACAAAAACACCATAGTTATGAAATAATTCTGTGACCACACTGCGTCGGGTCAATTCAGTTACTTTAGAATTTCATCAGACTGTCACCGGCTCTCGCACCTGGTCTGACGTGTTGGGTTCACTATCCGAGGCGATCCTCTTCTCAGCCGCGGGGCTTGAAATGGCTCTCCGTCATCGGTGGGCTCAGGCTTATGCTCCGTACCGCGGGGAGATGGTGGGCAAAAAATTAAAACTGAGAAAAACCGGAAAAACAAACGAGGGGAAAGACGCCGCTATACGTTACTTAGGGGTCGGTTATTCTGTCACGGTCACGGTGTGTGGAGGCAGGCAGGACTACGAGGACGACAAGGATTCCAATAATGATATTTAATGTAGACACAACAAGGCAGATTCATAATGGAGCGACAACAAGGCAGACGAGACATACACACTCAGGGTAACATTCACAATAACCGACAAACTGGAACACAATGGACAGGAACTGATATAGGGTGGATAATTAGTGGCAGACAGGTGAGCACAATGAGGGTAATTAACTTAATGATCATACGGGCTAAACCAACAAAAGGGGAAGAAACCACAATAAACAGTCCACAGGGGCGTTACAGCTACCACACTACGTCGGGCTGATTCATTTACTTTAGAATCTTAACAGAATTATAACAAATGTCTTACACTTCAGGCAAAACAAGCACTTACAGCTTCAACTTCTGCAACTGACGGCTTCTTTAGGCATGCACATGCTAGCGAGT